TTACCCCAGAAAGGAAAACAGCACTATCCATAACCACTAGCCTTTCTGGCCTTGACAGAAACGGCAGGGAATACACAAAAATAGGAACAAAAGGCTTTCCCTTCCTAACACTTCATCAGTCCCCAAACCCCATCATTTCCTCCCACGCTCAGGGTTTATCAATTCCTCATCGTTCACTTAATTTCCTTCCCTCTCCTCCACCCCACCTTTTCTACCCCCGCCCCCAAGATGCTAGACTCCCCATCCCTTTATGCCCACTCCCTCAATCCCTTCCGTAACCAGCCTTCCCTCCACTTCCATTCCTTCCTCCCTCCCACGTAAGCCCTCCGACGCCTCTTCCCTTCCCCAACCTCTAATACTACTCGCGAAGAGCCCCTCCATTTCCCTGCCCCCCCCTCTCTTTTTCCTCCCAGCCCCCTCCCTCTCCCCGCCCCCATCCCACCTCCTCTCCCCTGGCCCAGCCCAGCCCCACTCGACCTCCTCTCCCCATCCTCCCGCTCCCAGCCCCCACCAAAGCCTCCAAGCCAATCCGCTCCTCCCCACGGGCTTCTCCTCTCCGTTTCTTTCCCTTTCTCCCTTCCCCGCCCCCTCCAACCCCACTCGGGGTCAGCCAGCCCTGGGTGGGGGTGGGTGTGGGCGTGGGTGGGTGCCCGCCCCGCCTCGCACGCGGCGCCACTTTACCTTCAGTCTGTTCCATTCTAACCCCCCGGCCGTGTCAGTGCGATCACAGGAGAGACACGGGGGCCCGGAGGGGGGCCGGAGCGCGGGGCACAGCCGAGGCCGAGGGGGGAGGAGTCGGAGCCAGGCCAGGCCGCATGAATCCCCGGCCTAAATTTCCTCCACGCCGGGTGCCGCTGCCATCGCGGCCCGAACCCTGGGGCCGCGGCCCGGACGGGAGTGGGGGAGGGGCAGAGAAGCTGCGGGAGGGGAGGGGGAAGGGAGGGGGAGGAAAGAGGGGGGGTGGGGTGGCTGCGCAGCCGCTGCTGCCGAAGAAGAGCCCGGGGCGAGCGGCGGGGCTGGCGGCGGCTGCAGAGGGTCTCGGGGACTTGCTCGCTCGCTTTCTCGCTCTCCCGCCGCGGTCTTCTTCTACACCCCCCCGTCCTGGTCGTCTTCTTCGCCTTCGCCGTCGTCGTCGTCGCTAGCTCGCTCGCTCGCTAGCTCGCTCCCGCCGCCGCCGCCGCCGCCGCCGCGCACAAAGCACCCCCCACTTCTCTCGGGCAACGCCGCCACCGCCGCCAAATCCTCACGCGTTCATTGGCCAAGGGGTGCGATGCCTTTTGGGAAGTGTAGTTCATAATGGGGCGGGAGGGAAGGAAAGAGAGAAAAAAAAGGAGGAAGAGGCGAGTAGAGAGGGATGGGGTGGGGTGGGGGTGGGGAGGAGAGAGAAAGAAGCGTGTGAGGTTGGCAAGGGAGAGAATAAACGGGAAACGGGGCAGAAAATAAAGATGTGAGGTGAGGGCTAAGAGCAAGGGAGAGGAGTGATGTAAGATGGGAAGCAGAAAATAAAAACAACATGAGAAAGATGCAGGGTTAGTGTTTCAGAGAAGTAGAAGGGAAAAGGTTATTTAGTATCCCTGCTTCTCGTGGAGGATCAAAGACTGACTTTTTAAAAGTCCTGTTTCCTGAGGACACATTGTAGCTATTACCTATTCTTTGATAATAACAAATACTGGGCCGCTGAGAGATGAAAAACATTGTAACAATGTAGACTTATTCTTTCAGTGTAGCACTGAAGATTTCTGGGTAAGAAGACTGTCAGCTTACAAACGTGCACAGTTAAGAGCTTTGGCGGATTAAACAGAATTCCAGTGTCTTCTTGAACTATGTCTTCGCTCCAGCACCTGTCATAGAATATAAGTCAAAAATGCTTCTATGATCTGGATAGTGTTTATTTGAGATTTGACCCTGAAGGGACAATCTTTCCTCTGCACCTACCCCCACCTCTCTGCAATGGAGTGGTTTTTCCAGACTGTAATCGTTAGATGGCAAAGACTGTACCTCCTTTCTCTTTTCAGGAAGGCCTACAAACATCTCTTCTAGGGATCTAGGCCTCTACTGACTCTCTTCCTGCTGCAACTATTGACTCAGAGGCTTGTGGGTAATGTGGAGTACGTCAGCATCTCTACTATATCCTGGACTGCTTGGGGAGCTCAGAGTTCAGAGAGTTCCGTGCAGATCACGTAGCTTCTTTCCAGTTTGTTTCTCAGTGTGCCTGTGCTGTCAGTGCCCTCTACTGCTTTTTTTGGTCACGCCCTGTCAGACCAGTTGCTGTGTGAGGGTTCCTGTTCTACCACCCATCCTTAAATGCTCTTCTTCCCTCTCTACGAAAATTATAGCACAAAAATTTTTCTTCTCCTTGTGATGAGTTAATAAAACCCCACAGTGGTGTGCAAGTTAATTATATTGACCACAATTAGTGGAACAGTGTCTGATAGTAATGCCTAGAAGCATTTGAACTTCAAAGGTAGTCCAGAAGGACCACAAGCACTGCATGTGCATAAGAAAACTAATAGTATTGGTCTCCTCTGAGTGTTGAGAGCAACAAAGCTGACCTTCTTTGAGGACATGTACTTCTCTATCTCTGCTGCTGTTGCAAGAATTCCTGGGCTATAAATGAATGTCCTGAACACCACTCTAACAAATTAAATTGAAAAGTTTTCTCCCAGTCACTCTCTTACTTTAGAGAAGTACTCATTATTTGTTTGGTGTTATCATCAAGGACGTGTAAGTCCAGAAATAAAAGTGGTCTACTCATGTAGCAAAAGTAAGCTATTAATGTAATATTTAGTATCTGTGAAATAGTCAGACACCTAGGAGAATGTCTCCAAAGCATTGGATAGATCCTCCTAGGAAGGGTTTATGTAGGGGTAAAGATAAGAATCTTAATTTTTGCACCTAGGTGAGAAAACATAGATGACTTTAGATCAACATGTGAAGGATATACTCATATCAATGAAGTGTTGATGTATTTAGATTTATAGAGCACTGGTCTTCAGAAGAGCTCAACCCCTTTAAACCTTAGACTTCTATAAGAATTAAGATGAGGAATGATCACTACTATTACAAAAAATCCATCAATGACTCTAAGTTCCTATTATCAGTATTTTTGGAACTCCAATATGCTTTGTTGTGCCAAGGATTAAGGGTCTTTAAAAAGTATTCTTATGATTCAAGGCAGATTAGTGGTTGGTTTTGGTCTACTTGTTACTTGTGGTCCTTTTGGATTTGAATGCCTGGTACTATTCCAGCATGATTAATATTATGTATAGTCTTTAACCCTTAATTGTTGGTACCACAGAGAATATTGGGGCTAAGAAAATGCTAACTGATAGTTTGGGGGGGGTTGACTAGATGTGTGATTTCTTTAGTACAGTAAGCTCCTAGAGAAGAAGTCCTTCTACCAATACAAATCTGTACCTGTTTTTGCAATGTATAGTCTTTAGAGAGTTGACTAGAACATTGAGAAATTAAATGACTTGCCAGGGTCACACAGCCAGTATATGTCAGAGGCAGGACTTGAACCCTGGTCTTTCTGGGCCAGCTTTCTATGTACTACATATAACACATTGTCTCTCAACCGGTAATTCCTCTAAATATATATACACACATTTATTTGCTATAAAAGTATTTTTTTAGGATAGAAGCAGATAAAAGGTATAACTCAGCTTCTTAGAAGGAGAGTTGCAAAATAGGAATTTGGGGATGAAGGTTGTGTGGAGGTAGTCTTTTGCCTATAAATTAATAGGAAGCACAGAGATAATTTTATTTAGTCTTTTATCATATGTAAGGTTAACGAGTTTATATGCAATAATTTACAATCCTCAATACTTAGCATCCTATAAAATCCCTAGGGGGTCATAGATAGCACCTTAAAAAACAGCAGGATGGACTCAATAGCTAGGGTGAAAAGGATTATGGGAAGGAAGAAATTTTTGCTTATATTCTTACTTAGACTAACAACAACAACAACAAAAATCCTCTGTTCTGGATAAGGAAACATCCTTATTTCCTTGGAGAAGTGGAAAAATATGGATAGGGAAATATTGGATACACTATATGATGTAGTTGCTTTGTCAGTTGATTTTGCTTACCTATTTTTCTTTGTAAAAGGGGAAGCTTAGTATGATTAGAGGAGGGGTTATGTATCTAGAAATTATTGTGACATAAAAACAAAAGGTATCAATAAAACTTTTTTAAAAAAACTTAAATGTGGCATCTAAAAACTGCTCACATAACCTAAAACTTGGAAAATTCTCAAACATGACTAGACCTGACTTTAGATAAATGGATTTCATTGAGGCAAAGGGGGCAAAAGAGAGGGATTGGATCAGGGGCAAGGATGTTTTCTCTTTATTTCAAAATGAGATTGCTTACTCTTCCTTTTCTGGTAAGATGGCCAGAGTGAAATAGAAAAGCCTTTCATTTCTCTTCAGCGTATCCCCCACAGTTCAGCTGTAGAGTTTGTTTCCATGAGAAGCTCAGGAAGGCCCTCCTGGATCCCTTTTTCTGAAATGTTAAATTACCTTGATAAGACTAGACCTAGACCTTTCATACAGTTATAAACTTGCCTGGCCCTAGATACTCTACATTAACAATGATTGATTTATTCATGAACAGTTCAGACACTTGGGCTATACCCTTGTATTTGGTCTCTAAGTTAGAGGCAAACAGGCTGACAGAATTGGAGATGAGAGATCTAACTGTGAAGCCAGTCACAGACACACAAATTCAGGTGCTCAGAGGGAAGCCTATGTAGCAAAGTGATTCCACCAGGAAATCATGAGGTCTCAGAAAGGCAGCAGTCAAGCAACACTGAGTTTCTGGGAACAAGCTATAGAAATTTGAGGCCCCATCAATGGCATGATCTCACAGAGTTCGTAGGCCATCTAGTCCCAGTGTAGTATGATCAGTCTAGAGTGTTATTTAGGTCAATGAGGAAAGAAATAAGGAGGAAATAAGAGGTGTTTTGATTTTTTTTTCTCTATTTAAGGAGAGGGCCCAGGGCAGACACCTTATCATTTTGCTGCTCACTTGGACTTAACCATTATCTCCAGAAACTCATCTTCCTGCAAGATCAAGTCAATTCTGAAATTCACACCTCTTCTGTACCTCTTGCACCTTGGGCCCCTCCCTCACTCTGACTGGGGAAGGTAGAAAATGGATGTTGGACAGCTCCTCCTCCATATTCTATTTAAGGGTAGGAAGCCAGGACAGATACCTCATCACGTTCTCACACCAGATACCCTTTCTCTCCTCTATTCTCTACCCTTCCTGCTTTTCAGATTCTTTTTGTATGTTGTCTTTCCCCCTTAGATTGTGAGATCCTTAAGGGAAAGGAGTGGGGTTTTTTTTTTTGCCTTTCTTGGAATCCCAGAGATTAGCACATACCTGGCACATATTAGGTGTTTAATAAATGTTTATTGACTGATGTTTAAAAAATGTAATAGCATATACATCCTTTAAAGCAGTGTGGTACAGTGGAAAGGGCAGTGACTCTGGAGTAAGATAAATTGAGTTCAGATCCTGCCTCTGACAGTGACTACCCATTTAACCTTGGGTAATCTCCCTGAGCCTCTGCTCCTCATCTATAAAATGGGTATGTTGAGAGTACAAAAAGGCAAAATATAAACAAAAAGCAAAATGGAGAAATAAGACTAGATGGTTTCTGAGGTACATTTTAGTTCTAGATCCATGATACTTTATTCTTTTTATCACATTAAATAAAGCCTGACCTACCTTGTTAACTGAGTGTTTACAGGGGGAGATAAAAGCCATTTTCCCTTTGTTGTGGAGACCTAGGCACAAGCCAAGTTCCTATGTTCCCCATAGAAACCCTGAAAAGAGACACAACAGTCTAAATACTTTTGTCCTCAGTGGAAACCCTGGTTAGGGAC